TTATAGTTTTGACTATAGAATAGTTTTTAGTTTTGACTATAGAATAGTCTATAGTTTTGACTATATAATAGTTTATAGTCTTGACTATAGAATAGTTTATAGTATTGACTACAGAATAGTCTAAGTCTTGACTATAGAATAATCTATAATCATGGCTATATATAGTCTTGTCTATAGAATAATCTATAGTCTTTTCTGTTCAATAGAATATAGTGTGACTATAGAGTTAATATATTTTTATTATATTCATTATCTTCCCCTTTAAACTTTTCTTCCTATCACCCACTATTCATTCTCCCTTAATTTAGCATAATATCACCCATGTGACCTGCCTATGACCACAGATGTGAAAAAAAAATTTTGAAAACCAACATTCATTTGCAAACGTATTTTTTAAATAAATTTACATTAATGCAACTAAATAATGAAATGGATAAAATGTTAAATAATGACATGGTGAAAACAAATAACAGGCGGCTAGAGCTATAAAAAAAATAAACTATGTAAATTTATTTAACACGTTCAATTTTTTTCCCTTTAGTAACAACAACAACAAAAATTAAACCATGATTTTCATTTCATTTTCATTGTTTTTAAAAATTCAAACAAATGACCACAAAATAGCAAAAAAGATTTCAGCAGCCAACATAAAACAAACATTTTATATGAAAAAAATTTGTGTATAAAACTAAACTATTTTACCAGGATTTTTGTATATGGTTAATCAACATTATTATATTTTTGTTAAATTTTTTTTTGGTTTTTCTAGCACATAAATTATTATGCAGAAAATTGTTGCAATTTGAGTTTTTATTTTATTTTATTTAATTTTTTTTTTTTTCGGGGAGAAGAGGAAATGAAAACTATGTTGAAAATATACAAATTCCTACAGCATAGTGTTGTAGTCCGAATTATAAATATTTTTATTTTAGCTTAACAGTATTAAAAACTTTTAGTTTTATAACAATATTTTTTCCCCACGAATTTCAAATTAAACTCATCATAATCATACAGATTTTGTTGTTGTTTTAGTTTTTGTTATTAGTCTAATAACCTTCAGCTATATTTGCAATGTTTTTAGAGTTCAGAATTTTAAAAAAGTTTTAAAAGAATAAATATTTGTTTAAATATTTAAAATGAGAATTAGGTCGACTGGATTGGTATGCATTCCGACGGTAGAGGGCAGCACCAGTTAATGTCTAACGAATACTAATCGTCTTTAAAAAGCTCGTCTTATGGCTAAAATATTCTTAACTAAATGAGAATTATACATTTTGTACGACTTATTACCTTTCTTCAAATACCTTGATTACTTAACTGCTTCTATGTAATGTATCTGAAGTGTACACCTCATGAAAACCTAAGTTAACCAATAACCATGTTTTTGTTCAAACTTTAAACATCAACTAAGTTAAATGAACTGTTAAACTTTTACTTCCTGCTTCCCCCTTAACTATTATCGCCATATTTTAATTTAATTAAAATTTTCAAATTTTATTTTTATTCCATTTAACAAACAATTTACCACATATGCAAAATTTTAAACATAAAATTTATTATTATTGTTGCTGTTGTTATACTATTTTGTTCACATTAAATATTTATAATTTTAATTACTATTGCTAATTATTGTTTTGATAACTGATAATGTTGATATACTATTTGCTAATCCGAAAAACAATTGATTAAAAAAGTTTTAGTTCACATTTTATTTTCGAATACAATAAAATTATTTAAATTACGAAAAATTTCTAAAAACAAATGTTTAACCACAAATTTGCAAGAAATTAATATAAAAGAAAATAAATTAATTGAAATATTTTAATAAATTGCAAATAACAATAAATATTGGAAACAAATTTAAAGACTTTATATGGACTCTTCTATAGACAAGATTATAGATAATTCTATAGTTGAGACTATAGACTATTCTATAGTCAGGATTAGAGACTATTCTATAGTCAAGACTATAGACAACTCTATAGTCAAGACTATAGACAACTCTATAGTCAAGACTATAGACAACTCTATAGTCAAGACTATAGACAACTCTATAGTCAAGACTATAGACAACTCTATAGTCAAGACTATAGACAACTCTATAGTCAAGACTATAGACAACTCTATAGTCAAGACTATAGACAACTCTATAGACAACTCTATAGTCAAGACTATAGACAACTCTATAGTCAAGACTATAGACAACTCTATAGTCAAGACTATAAACAACTTTATAGTCATGACTATAGACAACTCTATAGTCCAGACTATAGACAAATCTATGGCCATGACTATAGACAGCTCTATAGTCAAGACTATAAACAACTCTATAGTCATGACTATAGACAACTCTACAAACTATTCTATAGTCAAGACTACAGACTCCATAGTCATACTCTACACTCAATACTATTCTATAGTCAAGACTGTAGACTATCCTATGTATAACACTATGAACTATTTCATAGGCAAGACTATAGACTGTTTTATAGTTAAGACTATAGATTAGTCTATAGTCAATACTATAGACTTTTCTAGAGGTAAGACTAAAAAATATTCTAAAGTCAAGGCTACTCTATAGTCAACACTATAAACTATTTCATAGGCAAGACTTAGATTATTCTATAGTCATAATTGAGACTATTCCATAATCAAGTTTATAGACTACTCTATAGTCATCACTATAAACTGTTTCATAGGCAAGACTATAGACTATTTCATAGTCAAGACTATAGACTATTCCATAGTCAATACTATAGACTATCCAGAGTTAAGACTATAAACTATTCTAAAGTCAAGACATTAGACTACTTTATAGACAAGACTTTAAACTAGTCTATAGTCAATTCTATACACTATTCCATAGTCAAGATTATAGACTATTCTATAGTCAAGACTATATATAGTTCTATCAAGATTGAGACTATTCTATATCAAGTCTATAGAATACTCTATAGTCATCACTATAAACTGTTTCATAGGCAAGACTATAGACTATTTCATAGTCAAGACTATAGACTATTCAATGGTCAATCCTAAAGACTATTCAATAGTCAAGACCATAGACTATTCAATAGTCAAGACTATAGACTATTCAATAGTCAAGACTATATACTACTCTATAGTCAACACTATAAATTGTTTCATAGGCAATAATATAGACTATTCCATTGTCAAGACTACAGACTATTCCATAGTCAATACTATAGACTATCCAAAGTTAAGACTATAAACTATTTTATAGTCAAGGCTACAGACTATTCTATAGTTATGACTATATACTATTCTACAGTCAAGACTATAGACTTTTCTATAGTCAAGACTATAAACATTTCTACAGTCAAGACTATAAACAGCTCTATAGTCAAGACTATAGTCTGTTGTATAGTCAAGACTATAGACTGTTCTATAGTCCAGACTACATAATTTTCTATAGTCAAGACTATAAACTGTTGTATAGTCAAGACTATAGACTGTTCTAGACTATCCAGAGTTAAGACTATAAACTATTCTATAGTCAATGCTATAGACTATTCTATAGTCATGATTATAGACTATTCTACAGTCAAGACTATAGATTTTTCTATAGTCAAGACTATAAACAGTTCTATAGTAAAGACTATAGACTGTTGTATAGTCAAGACTATAGACAATTCTATAGTCAAGACTATAGACTATTCTATAGTCAGGGCTATAGACTGTTATATAGTTAATACTACCGACTGTTCTATAGTCAATACTGTAGTCAAGACAGTAAGCTATTCTATAGTCAATACTATAAATTATTCTACAGTTAAACTATAGACTATTCTATATCAGAATATATATTGGATTCAATAGTAAAGAATGTATTCAGATTAATGTCTTACCCATGGTTTTAATTACTTTTTAATACTTAATAAAAAATAGTTTACCATACTTTCAGCTCTAACCACTCCATTATTATTGTTTTTTCGCTCCCCACTACACTTATTATTAACAAATAATTATTATACAGCAAACGATTCTCTCATTAAATTTTACTTATACCGCAACTTTTTTCTTCTGGTTGCCTAAAGACAATAACGTATACATGCCCGTCAGTTCGGTGGTGGATGTGCCGATCTTATGATCTTAACTAACACTTAGCACTTGTTGTGAGACCTGTTAAAGTGATTTTTATAGAGGGATGTCTAGATTAATCTAGAGTTAGGACTATGGACTGAGAGTTAAGACTTTGAGGTAATCTATAGTTAAGACTACAAAGTGATCTACAGACTGATCCTGTAAAGGCTACAGACTAATTTATAGGCAAGAGTACACACTGATCTATAGTCAAGACAACAAACTAAACTAGTCAAGAATATATATATGGATTTATAGATAAGATTACTGCAGATATAGACAAGACTACAGACTTATCTATAGTCAAAACTATAGCCAAGACTTCACACTGATCTAGTGTAAACAACAGACTTATCTATAGTCTAAACTTTTTATTAATCTAGTCAAGACTACTGATAGATCTATAGCCAAGATCACAGACTGATCTTTAGATACTATATAACGACCTATAGTTAAGTGACGATTGACTTCTCAGTTGGCATGTCAAGTAGGTTAAAATGCCTATTCGAAAGGAATACATTGGCTTTTTCTAAAACTACTGGGTATAGACCTACATTGTAACTGACCACCATTAAATTATCCTTAACGTGTTCATTATATAATTTGAAAAACAGAAAATAAAAAAATATATATGCAAAAGAACAAAAGCAACCATTTACAATTTATAATTAAATTTTTGTTGCGGCATGCAGTTTGTGGCTGCCGCACAAGACTATGAGCCAAGCCTCACGTTGGTTCTTTTGTCATGCAACAGTCAACCAACCAACCAACAGGCAACACACATTACCATAGTTACTCCTTCACATACAACTAATGAATTGAAAATAAAGGTGACGAGGACATTGTTGTTGATGACGAAGATAATAATGATGATATTTTTTTCTTATTGTACTTACCAATAAAACTTTTTCTCTTATTAATGGTGGCCGTAATTTGTGCCGATACACCAAAATCAGCCAATTTCACATCACCATACTCTGTTAGTAGTATATTGGCTCCTTTAATATCACGATGCATTTTACCCATGGAATGCAGGTACTCGAGTCCTTTTAATGTTTCACGGCACATATAGGCAATCTGTTGTTCTGTCAGTGGGCCGGTTACTTGATAAATATCCTGTAAACTACCACCGCCACAATACTCCATACAGATCCATAATTTATCACGTCGCAAATATGAGCCATAGTATGCAATTATATTTGGATGACGACAGTCACGCATCATAATAATCTCCTGTTGGATGATTTGTATGTCATCTGTGGGTTCTAATTTAATCACTTTTATGGCGGCCAATTCATTGCTCTGTATACGTTTGGCCTGGAAAAGGGAGAAAAGAAAAATGGGAAAATGAATATATTATAATTAAATTATTTGGTGACAATAAGCCTGATCTATAGTCAAGACTATAGGCTGATCTATAGTCAAGACTATATAGACTGATCTATACTCAATACTATAGACTGATCTATAGTCAAGACTATAGACTGATCTATAGTCAAGACTATAGACTGATCTATAGTCAAGACTATAGACTGATCTATAGTCAAGACTATAGACTGATCTATAGTCAAGACTATAGACTGATCTATAGTCAAGACTATAGACTGATCTATAGTCAAGACTATAGACTGATCTATAGTCAATACTATAGACTGATCTATAGTCAATACTATAGACTGATATATAGTCAAGACTATACACTGATCAATAGTCAAGATTATAGACTGATCTATAGTCAAGACTTTAAACTGATATATGGTCAAGACTATAGACTGATCTATAGTAAAGACTATAGACTGATTTATAGTCAAGGCTATAGACTGATCTATAGTCAAGACTATAGACTGATCTATAGTCAAGACAATAGACTGATCTATAGTCAAGACTATAGAGTGATCTATACTCAATACTATAGACTGATATATAATCAAGAATACAGACTGATCTATAGTCAAGACTATAGACTGATCTATAGTCAAGAATATAGACTGATCTATAATCAAGACTAGAGACTGATCTATAGTCGAGACTCGCCTAATTTATAGTCAAGTCTATAAACTGATCTGTAGTCAAGTCAGTCAATACTAAACACTGATCTATAGTCAAGACTATAGACTGATCTATAGTCGAGACTCGCCTTATCTGTAGTCAAGACTATACACTGATCTGTAGCCAAGACTATAGACTGATCTATAATCAAGACTATAGACTGATCTATAATCAAAACTACAGACTGGTCTATAACCAAGACTACAGACTGATCTATAGTCAAGCCGATAAACTGATCTATAGTCAAGACTATAGACTGATCTATAGTCAAGTCTGTCAATACTTAATACTGATCTATTGTCAAATCTATAAACTGGTCTATATACTGATCTTTAGTACAGACTATAGGCTGATGTATAGTGATGACTATAGAGTGATATATAGTTAACACTATAGACTGATCTATAGTCAAGTCTGTCAATACTAAATACTGATCTATTGTCTAATCTGTAAACTGATCTATAGACTGATCTTTAGTACAAACTAGAGGCTGGTCTATAGTGAAGACTATAGAATGATCTATAGTCAAGACTATAAACTGATCTATACTTAATACTATGGTCTGATCCATAGTCAATTCTATAGACTGATCTATAGTCTATACTATAGACTGATATATAGTGAAAACTATAGACTGATCGATAGTCAAGACTGTAGAATGATCTCTAGTCAGGACTATAGAATGATATGTAGTCATGACTAATGACTGATCTTTAGTCATGACTATAGATCTATAACCAAGACTATAGACTGATCTATAATCAAGACTATAGACTGATCTATAGTCAAGACTATAGACTGATCTATAGTGAAGACTGTAAACTGATCTATAGCCCAGACTATAGACTGATCTATAGTTAAGACTATAGACTAATCTATATTCAACACTATAGGCTGATATATAGTCAAGAGTAAAGACTGATCTATAGTCAAGACTATAGACTAATCTCTAGTCAAGACTATAGACTGATCTCTAGGCAAGAGTAGTAGTAGTAGTAAGTGTTGTTCCTTTTATGGTTTATGTTTATTACAAAGAAAAAAGCTCCCCAAAAAGCATTTTCCACTTCCTTTTCATTGTCCAAGTAACAATTGCTTTTAAATCAATATTTAAAATCTCTTCTTACTTATAAACAAATATTAACCACTTAACAAACAAACGTATTTCCTCCTTTTTAAATTTTACCATAAAACAAACAAATCTTTAAATCCATTTCAATTTACCAAAATATTAAAAACAAATTTGTTTAAATTTATTGTTTAAATCTATTTGTTTGCATTTTTTTCTTTAAATTTTGATTAAAATTCAGTGTTATTATATTTTTTGTTTACACTCTCTATTATTAAATTGATTTTGTGGTTTAAGAAAAAAAATTTAAAATAAAATCATTATTTTGCCATCAATTTTCAAATTGAATGAATACAATTACAACAATTATTATAGTTATTTGAATAAATTTTGATAAAACTCTTTCACATGCAGACAAACGCACTCACACACACACACGAACAAATTAAATTTTAAATCCTTTTACTAATACAAGCCCACAGTCAAACAAATCCCTGCAGCTTAGTGTGCTCTTAGCAGTCTTGAGGCTTCAATTTGTTTACAAATCAATTTTAAAAATTCTTTGACAGAGAAAAAGCATTTTCATAAAATAATTTAGACATTTGAGGAAAAATACTGCCTTAAAGGGAAACCACTGGCAGCTTTTAAAACAGCAGGGATTTATTTACCAATATCCTTTTTTTGGTTATATGTGAGAAGCAGCAGTTAAGAAATATTTTCGCTCTATAGTTGCATGCAACATGAAATGTTCCAAAATATGCTTTTAACAAAAAAATGTCTAAATCATTGACCTGTGAAGGCAGAAGAAAAAATTGGCAAAATGAGGGTTCAAAATGGAAATAAAAAAATACCAATAAAAAATATCAATAATTGCCTAAGTCAAATAACTGAATGAACGGGTTATAAAAAAAGTACTTAAATTATGGTACTTTTATAGCAAATTTTTTCAAAATTACTCAAAGCATAATTATACTATATAATAAAGATTATAGATTGGTCTATAGTCCTTTTAATTGGCATATATTTAGTCCAGATCATAGACAAAACTAGAACTAAACCTATACTGAACCAGAACAGAACTAGAACAGAGCTAGAAAAGAACTAGAGCAGAACTAGAACACAACTACAACAGAACTACAACAGAACCAGAACAGAACTAGAATAGAACTAGAACAGAACTAGAACAGAACTAGAACAGAACTAGAACAGAACTAGAACTGAACTAGAACTGAACTAGAACTAAACTAGAACTGAACTAGAACTGAACTAGAACTGAACTAGAACTGAACTAGAACTGAACTAGAACTGAACTAGAACTGAACAAGAACTGAACTAGAACTGAACTAGAACTGAACTAGAACTGAACTAGAACTGAACTAGAACTGAACTAGAACTGAACTAGAACTAGAACTGAACTAGAACTGAACTAGAACTGAACTAGAACTGAACTAGAACTGAACTAGAACTGAACTAGAACTGAACTAGAACTGAACTAGAACTGAACTAGAACTGAACTAGAACTGAACTAGAACTCAAAAATTAATGAAATTAATAAAATTAATAATTAATAAAAAAAAAAAAAAAAACTAGAACTGAACTAGAACTGAACTAGAACTGAACTAGAACTGAACTAGAACTGAACAGAACTGAACTAGAACAGAACTAGAACAGAACTAGAACAGAACTAGAACAGAACTAGAACAGAACTAGAACAGAACTAGAACAGAACTAGAACAGAACTAGAACAGAACTAGAACAGAACTAGAACAGAACTAGAACAGAACTAGAACAGAACTAGAACAGAACTAGAACTGACCTAGAACAGCACTAGAACAGAACTAAAACAGAACTGGAACAGAACTAGAACTGACCTAGAACAGCACTAGAACTGAACTAGAACTGAACTAAAACTGAACTAGAACTGAACTAGAACTGAACTAGAAATGAACTAGAACTGAACTAAAACAGAACTAGAATAGAACTAGAACAGAACTAGAACGGAACTAGAACAGAACTAGAACAGAACTAGAACAGAACTAGAACAGAACTAGAACTGAACTAGAACTGAACTAGAACTGAACTAGAACTGAACTAGAACTGAACTAGAACTGAACTAGAACTGAACAAGAACTGAACTAGAACTGAACTAGAACTGAACTAGAACTGAACTAGAACTGAACTAGAACTGAACTAGAACTGAACTAGAACTGAACTAGAACTGAACTAGAACTGAACTAGAACTGAACTAGAACTGAACTAGAACTGAACTAGAACTGAACTAGAACTGAACTAGAACTGAACTAGAACTGAACTAGAACTGAACTAGAACTGAACTAGAACTGAACTAGAACTGAACTAGAACTGAACTAGAACTGAACTAGAACTGAACTAGAACTGAACTAGAACTAGAACAGAACTAGAACAGAACTAGAACAGAACTAGAACAGAACTAGAACAGAACTAGAACAGAACTAGAACAGAACTAGAACAGAACTAGAACAGAACTAGAACAGAACTAGAACAGAACTAGAACAGAACTAGAACAGAACTAGAACAGAACTAGAACAGAACTAGAACAGAACTAGAACAGAACTAGAACAGAACTAGAACAGAACTAGAACAGAACTAGAACAGAACTAGAACAGAACTAGAACAGAACTAGAACAGAACTAGAACAGAACTAGAACAGAACTAGAACAGAACTAGAACAGAACTAGAACAGAACTAGAACAGAACTAGAACAGAACTAGAACAGAACTAGAACAGAACTAGAACTAGAACAGAACTAGAACAGAACTAGAACAGAACTAGAACAGAACTAGAACAGAACTAGAACAGAACTAGAACAGAACTAGAACAGAACTAGACAGAACTAGAACAGAACTAGAACAGAACTAGAACAGAACTAGAACAGAACTAGAACAGAACTAGAACAGAACTAGAACAGAACTAGAACAGAACTAGAACAGAACTAGAACAGAACTAGAACAGAACTAGAACAGAACTAGAACAGAACTAGAACAGAACTAGAACAGAACTAGAACAGAACTAGAACAGAACTAGAACAGAACTAGAACAGAACTAGAACAGAACTAGAACAGAACTAGAACAGAACTAGAACAGCACTAGAACTGAACTAGAACTGAACTAAAACTGAACTAAAACTGAACTAGAACTGAACTAGAAATGAACTAGAACTGTA